GACGCCGTTTTGCTTCAGGTCGTTGCTGATCACAAGAAGATCTTTTGGGACGTTTGTGTGAAAGCTCCAGGTGGAGAAGACGACTCTTCTCATTTCAGAGATAGTCTTCTCTATAAGAGGCTTACTTCAGGAGACATTGTTTGGGAGAAAGTGATCAATATTAGAGGTCATCATGTGAGACCATACATTGTTGGAGATTGGTGTTACCCTCTTCTCTCATTCCTGATGACTCCCTTTTCACCAAATGGCTCTGGTTCGCCGCCGGAGAATCTATTCGACGGAATGTTGATGAAAGGAAGGTCAGTTGTGGTGGAAGCTATTGGATTGCTCAAGGCTAGATGGAAGATTCTTCAAAGTTTGAATGTTGGAGTGAACCATGCTCCTCAGACTATTGTGGCTTGTTGTGTGTTGCATAATCTTTGTCAGATTGCTAGAGAACCTGAGCCGGAGATTTGGAAGGATCCGGATGAAGCTGGAACGCCTGCAAGAGTATTGGAGAGTGAGAGGCAGTTTTACTACTACGGGGAGAGTTTGAGGCAAGCATTGGCAGAAGATTTGCACCAGAGACTCTCTTCGAGGTAAAGACATGAGAACAGATCTTGGTCAACAATTGGAACTTTCTATCTTTGTTATCATGTAAGAAGCAGGTGCTTTCAAGTGTTTAGATAGCAGCCATTGTAGATTCAATCCTCTTGAAAAGAAAGTTTGAGGATTCAGAAAATGTTAAAAAGCTGACTTTGTTGCTTAGCCATCCCAACTGTCAGTTTTGTAACTTAGGAATGGGTTTATGGTTTGTTCTGTAACACATTGAGAATTAAATGTATGACTTCTATTGATATGGATTATGGAATCTTGGGAAGTAAGTTTTTCGGATTTAGAAATGTTAAATAGCTCTCTGTTGCCGATGATAAACTGTCAGTTTTGTGACTTGGGTATGGGTTTATGATTTGTTTTGTGGGACATTGTGAGCGAAATGTATCTGACAATTTTATCGGATTGGAATCTGAAACTTTTTCCTGGAAATTATGGAGACAGCCAATTGAAAAGCTAAAGGGATGTTCTTAATATCTGTCTTTCCATAATTTGGAAGAACATCATCACTATGGATTATCATCTTATTATACAACTCTCCAGGCCTGTCCGTTTTTTCTGGATACTCTTTCTTTGTCGGAACTTAGCATTCTTTTTCTAAAACTATAAACATAGGAATGGGTCCTGAAAACAATTCCAATACCCAATCCCACTCCAAGAATCAATAAAGTTCTTGACATCCATCCATTTGCAGTTGTATGTTCTTCCCCTTTCAAATCAGTTGTAACACCTGAGTAACTTTCTTCATCGTGTTTTCGCTAATGGTTGTCTAGTAGAGACACCGTGCAACAGTTTGACAAAACCCAAGAAACTCAGCTTCCCATCTGTGTGTCTTATCCAGTCATGTAGAATGGTATGGACCGGGATAGATGATCCAACACCAAGTTCCTACAAAACATTTATGTTCCCTTTCGTTTAGGAATTAGCTGAATATATAGTAAAGCATGACAAGCAAGTTTCGAATCTTCTAAACCGAGTCCAAGTGAAGAGTATAAACTTACAGAAGCGAGCTCTTCAATGACGATAACTCGGTTTCCATTCATTTCGAATAGTTCATAAGCATGACGAATGCTCTGCTCCCAACAATCAAGAGACTCATGCTGATGAACGCTAATGGAAGCTGCACAAAACTCTTCAAAATCCATCCCTTTGTATTGGAGTCCATTTAACTGTCATTTCCCAACACCAAAACTTTTGCTAACCAACCTTGTATTGTATCTTAAACAGATTAAGTAAAAGGACAAGAACAGAGAGCGAGACAATACCAACGCAAGAAAGTCCGGGATCCGTGATTCCTTCATTGCTTCTGTTGCATTTGTAGCAAGTGCCTGTCCAACAAAAATAAATCTAGCTTTGAGCTGTTTGTTCTCTACCAGAGAGAGAGAGAGACAGAGGGAAAGAGAAGGCACATACCAGTCTGATGCTATCTAAAGTGATGAGGCCATTTTTGTTGGGTGCTAAGAGTGCAAACTGCGCTTTCAGATAAAGAAGTTCATTGGTAATTAATGTCTTGGACAGAGCCTGGAGAGAGTAAAAGAGTTAGGATCAACAATAAAATTTGGAGCAAACTAGATACAAAGACAACAAAAATCAACACATCCTTAAATGTTCATTAGCAACAGTAAAAAAGTTAGAAGAGAAATGTACCATCAAAGCAGCTTTGCGCAAAGACGAAGATCTCAAGTATGCTTTGATCTGCTTGAAGATTAGAATATCAAATGGGATATCTATTTTCTTATAACCCGCGATCCAAGGATGCACTGTAAAACCGGAAAAACGTAGAGTAACTTCAACTGGTGATTCATGACAGCTAGAAACAGAAGATAAATAAAGAAAGATGTGGAGATTTTAAAGATTACTGACTCAAAGCTTGAGAGGCTGTCATTCTTTTCCGAGGGTCCTTGTACAATAATCTCTTAACAAAATCTTTTGCCTCAAAGGATAACGAAGGCCAAGGAGGTTCATCAAAACTCGGATCAGCTTTTAGAACTGCTCTGAAAATTCCTGATTCAGTTCTTGCCCAAAAAGGACGGCTTCCACATAGGAGAACGTATGCTATTACTCCTATGCTCCATACATCCGCTTCTGTGGTATAAGATCTGTGTAGAACTTCAGGGGCTACGTAATATGCACTTCCCACTATGTCATTTAATCTTTCGTCTGGTCTGACAAAATCCGATAAGCCAAAATCTATGACTTTCAACAGAGAATTCTCCTCCTTGGAAGTGTACAAGAAGTTCTGAGACATGAAAGTGTTTCGAATTTGAATTGGTATTCAACTTAGAGAATATCTTTTCTTGAAGGGAATAACAAAGACCTAAGTGTGGTTCACCTCTGGTTTTAGATCTCGATGAACAACTCCTTGGAGATGACAGAAAGCTACAACGTTAAGGATCTGTATAAGCACTGCTTTTGCATCATCTTCAGAGTATTTTCCTCCCCTATAAGATTGAACAGTTAGACAGGCGCAATAGAACATCTCTAAGATAAACGTCTGACCATAAGTTGTCAAATTTCATAATGATCTTTAATAACAGACCTTGCTAGTATCCTGTCAAGGAGTTCACCACCTCCACATAATCTGAAAGTTGAAAGAAAGTAAATGTTAATTCACAGCTGAACATTTTGAAGTAAGCCAAGAAAATAAGAATCTGATAGCTCTCCTAGTAGATTCAAGATGACACAGGAATATATAAGCACATGATTGTCTTACTCCATAACGATGTAAACGTTGGCATTGTCCTCGAACGCATCGTAGAATTGTACCAAATTTTGATGTCCAGATAACGCCCGCAGTATTTTCACTTCTCTTCTCACATCCTCTATAGATATTGCAGATGTCATCTGCCAAACCAAAACTGATGAGCAACAGTCTATTATGGATTAAGCTAACATTCTTAGTTAGTCATCAAAATAAGGACTATAGAGATTTCATTTGCTTAATGACAATAAGCACAAATGCCCATCCTTCCAATTTATTGACCAATTTAAAACGTTTAGAAACTTTCATATCAAAGTCAGCAAAGCTATTATCTACAAC